CACAGAATTCAAGCAAATTCCCTCGCAAGAACAGAGGGTCAATCCCTCCTTGATGTCAAACACGGCCATGCGGAGTTCGTGAGAAACGGAAAAGATGAGGCTACTACACTGCAGATCTCTAATCCCGCGCCCTTTGACTGATATTTGTTGTTGTACATAACATGATAATATGTACATACAATGATGTAATGATAAGAATTTAACTTATAGGAGCTGCTCCGTTCGCACTCTGACATGTCGGAGCTTTCATGCCGTTGCCACCATCAGTGTCTTGGAACATGTATTCGTCAAAATATGAAGTTGCTTCATGCATGTGCGCAGAACATGAGGACGGAAACGTGCGCAAAACAGACTGCTGAAACACGAGTTAGCAATAAAAGAATACCATAAAAACGCCTTGCAGTATCACTATGACGTCACATGCGACCAGCCATTAAAGCTGAAACCTGCTGGTTTAAACCGCCACTAGCAGACATTCAGAGCACTCACACTCGCAGCAGCTCCAGCCGGTGGCTGAAACCGCCTGCATCACAATGGCGGTGGTGGCGGTGGTGGCGGCGGTGGCGGCGGTGGCGGGACAGAGTCGTCCGTCTCGCTACCGCCCGTGACGTCATCGGTCTCCGTCTCCTCGGGCACCGAGACCAGCACGCCGCCGGCAGAGCCCTCCTGCTCCTCCTCCTCCTCCTCCTCGCCAGAGTCCTCGTCGGTCAGGAGCGCGGCTGTCTCGCCGCTGTCGGACCACAGACCCGACTGCTTGAAGAGCACCATCTGCGCCTGGATGCGCCGCTGTCGCCGACGCACGAACCAGTACATGGCGCCTGCAACAGTGTGTCACCGTACGTGGCTCAGATCTCCAAATTTATGAGTCTTGACTTTGGTGAGAACATTTTTGACTCATGGGTTTTGAACGGCAGCTTACTACACACATTCGTAATGCTCCGCACGCTACGCCCACCAATTTTCATAACGGCAGGGCGCCTCATGTTGATGCTAGGTCTGCTGATGTAGGACTGGGCACCCGTAGCGCGACTTGTGCACCCACAACCTAAAATTTGATGAACAAAAACTATTAGCAATATGCTCGATATAAGGCATCCAACATTTGTTTCTGAAAGCGGAGTCGGAAGTGGGCGAAAGTATCTAAGTATCTAGAGTATCAAAGATGTTTTAAGTCTGCCTTCCCTGCCCGTCACTATTTAGCACAACATTCTTAGAGAGGTCAAAGGGTGGGAAGACCATCAGTGGGCATCCTGGCCTGCCCGCCCATCCTATCCGTGCGCTGTGACCCGTTCACCCGCCCCGACCGTGCGCTCTGACCTGCCCACCCGCCCCGGCCGCGCGCCCTGGTCTGCCCGCCCACCCTGGTCTGCCCGCCCACCCTATTCGTGCGCTGTGACCCGTTCACCCACCCCGGCCGCGCGCTCTGGCCTGCCCACTTGCCCCGGCCGTGCGCTCCGGCCTGCCCACCCGGCCCGGCCGTGCGCTCTGGCCTGCCCTCTCGCCCCGGCCGCGCGCTCTGACCTGCGGGCGCGGTCAGGCCTGCGCTCTGGCCTGCCCACTCGCCCCGGCCGTGCGCTCTGGCCTGTGGGCGCGGCCCGGCCGTGCGCTCTGGCCTGCCCACTCGCCCCGGCCGTGCGCTCTGGCCTGTGGGCGCGGCCCGGCCGTGCGCTCTGGCCTGCCCACTCGCCCCGGCCGTGCGCTTTGACCTGCGGGCGCGACCAGGCCGTGCGCTCTGCCCTGCCCACTCGCCCCGGCCGTGCGCTCTGACCTGCCAGCGCGGCCAGACCGGCCACGGTGCCCAACACGCCGGCCAGCACGGGCCCACTCACGCCGGCGGTCAGCGCCCGGGCCACGGGACCCATGGTCAGCCGACGGTACGGGTCATAAGGCTCCACCTGCGGAGGGACACGTCGGGAGGGTGGCGAGACCGCGTGGTCAGAGCGCTGGGGTGACTCTGCTGACTCTGGTGCTGCACGTGTTTTCATTCAACCCATGTCACAAAACACAAAAGAGAAGTGAACTATCAAAGTGTAACGGTTACGCGTTGTGATGATGCATAGCATATTTATGTAATGCCAATAGCAATTCCAAAGCAATGCATTTGCGCTATTTGTAAAACACTCATGTGCAATCAATTGCATTCGGTCGCAGTGATCAACTTTATCAACTTTATCAACTTTATCAACTTTTTAGTAGACCCGCAAACTGCACTGTCAGACCAAACAAGCGAATAATTGGCCAACCATGAGTTAATCTCTTCGGTCTCGCGTACAGCTCGAGGAAGCTGATCAACCAGGAGTCGGACGGGACATTCCGAATCACCTTCCGAGCTGCCCACGTCTCCTACCTCAAGTATGAACCAGTTGGTGATCCAGAGCAGCTGGTATTTGGGCTGGTAGACCAGGCACTCCCACTCCCCACTCAGCCTATCGCTGGCCAGACGCATCGTCATCGTGTTCATCAGCGTCTCATTGACTTCCTGGACATGATGGCAGAGCACGTCAGGGATGTGAAGGCGCCTTGAAACGTTTTGGTAGACGTCACACAATGTAATGACAAGCGTGCACCAGGCGCCGTCTGTCACATTTCGTAGGGCGCCACTGCCTAGGATAACATTTCCCTCACTCCCCAGTTGTCTTCTGATGTAACGGACGGATACGGGAAATCTAGGCCGTAATCCGCAATCTCACTACGCGTATGCAGATTGGGCCTGTCACGTAGCTGACCGCCAGTGACAGGTCACGTGTCAGTGAAGCGCCTCTTGTGGCGCGAGACAGGCGAGTGACAACAGAAGTTATTGTTATCACCAGGCAGATGACCCCTCAACATGAGCAAATGGAGCCCATGGCCTTCGTTTACCCACCTGGATAGGACTTGTCAATGAGTTGGAATATCCCACTTTCATGAGTCTGGCAGGCCATGGTGTTCATTAATGTTCATTGTGTTCGAGGCTTAAAGCGTTCGCGCAAAGGGTGTATATGGCTGAAATATTAGCTAACTTAAGGCCTGCCAGGGCTGACAATTTTAGTCGACGAGAATAATGAATCGTTCGTTTCCAGGTGACGGTGATAAGATCGTTAAAAACATGCGACGTCTTTAAGCAGAGAATGTTAAAAAGATCGCTGCATGCTGCTGACAGTTGATACCAGCACTCTGTCCAACGGCCCTGACCTGCAGCCTGATGTCTTCCACGGCGATGTATCGAGGCTCCATGGGGTCAGACGGGTCCATTTTTGGTAGCACCAGATCCGTGTGATTGTCGTCCGGAAAGATTCTGCGAATGCGCGTATCGAAAGAAATGTCTGTCGCTCATAACAGTAGGACGTAAGGCTCTCAGGAGAGCTTGAAATCTCTCGCTAGAGATATGTGCAGTGCTGGGTTTGTCAAAAGTTCAAGATTTTATTAACGGGAACGGAGCTACCAAAAGGCTGACTGATTTACAAGCATAAGACTATGGTTTCCACAAAAAGCTTTTCAAACCCGCTGAATCACCATCATGTGATATATCACATGCTCTTACATTTTGCCTCCTGCCGTAACACTATGGATTAAAACGCTGCAATAACGGAAGCATCATCATCCAGCACTCGTCTTCCGTTGGACCAGCGTCGGAGGTATCATATTGTGAACTTTTTTGGCAGCGTAAAAAGAAAGCCCTTAGCAATTGCAAGGATATCGAGCGGCTTAGTTTGGCACGGCTCAGCTTTTCAATACTGAAGTTAAAAAATAATTTCTCCCCTTTCGGTGGGCTCAGCCATTTTAGCCACCGATGGACATGGGGACATTCAAAGCCGCTGGGGTTCCGTAATAACGTCAGTACCTTTTGAACACATGCTGCACATTTTAATAGCTGTTTTTTGCACTTGGCCTTTCTCCATGAAAAGATTCTCCCTTTCATAGACAGTGAGTAATGACTTGCTTTGTTGCGGTCATTCCGTTCGTATTTTGCGTTCATGACTCATTAGCCAACGATTGTAAACATTGCAGCGCTCACCTGTTCCCCATATACGAATACAACTCCCCATTGAAGTACCAGAAGTGGAGCAGGTCATCGTAAACCTGATCCAGCACCTCTCCCATACAGTTGAATTCTACTTTGTCGCCTGTCATAGCAGTCCTGAAAAGGAGCCAGAATACGTTCGGGATCGCGCAATGTCGCTTCTGAGATAGCGACGCCAGTAGCTGAAATCAGTCAGCACAAAATGAAACAGAAACAACATGACATGAGCAGCCAAAAAGATCAATACAGCGGACCCAGATGAATACGAGAATGTCAAGACAAAGCCTCAGGTAATCTTGCATTACTGCTTATAAGTCAACAGCGACACACCTTGAGTTGAGCTAGCTTTCTCATGCGTCTGAGATGAGGCATCAAAAGCGTGGTATCAAGGTACAACATAAAATGACGTAGAGAGCTTTGTGGCTCATGCAAGAGACCGCTGCACTATTTTCTGCACTTCTGTTTGGGCATTGTGTGGGGAATCGAAAGGGGGCGGTACCAGCCCCTGCGCCCCAACCAGCCCCTGCGCGTGTACCAGCCCCTACGCAACCCCTAAAGCGATAAAATCGGCGAAGCTGGCTCGTGTTGAAGTGAGCAGACTCTCAAAGCAGTACATGAAAGTCCTTACGGCAAATGCCAAACCGTCAAATAGCAGCTTGCTTTTTGCTCTGGCAAGTGGTAACTCATAAAAATATCTCAACTCCCAGCTTTCAAATATCCCTCTGACCAAATACTTTGCTCTGAACCAAAAGCCACTCACGCAAACACTCAAACTAGATATCTCAAACAGCAACACGCCAAACCATGGGCTGCGACGGTTCCTACCGTGTGACATTTGCAGTGCGGACCACCACAGTCACCACGGCCACCAGACCGGACACGTCTGTACTAGGCTGCACGAGGCAGCTGTAGACGCCCGTGTCGGTCCACGATGCGTTCCGCACGAGCACGTCCAGGTCCTGCAGCTCCATGCGGTTGTTGTCGGTCCTCCACTTCTGACCGTTGCGCAGCCACATGGTGTCAAGCAGCGAGAACTGCTCCAGGGCCGCCTGGTACGCGTCCGTGCGACATCTGCCGATAGGAATGGGAGCTACTCGACGAGGGGGCTACGTCATTGGTATCCTCGTCCTCACCATTGCAGTTTGCACTTGCATTGCACTGGCAAGCTTCAAGAAGCTTATAAACCGTGATAATTCGACGTCGATTATCTTATTTTTATTGTAACATTGGTTAAATGCTACCTACAATCTTGGCCAATGGGTTATTGTTAGAATCGGGGTGCAAAATAACGCATTCGCGCGCATGCAAAACGGTTCCTGACGCTGCCTTCGCCAACAGCATGACATAATTTGGCGCCTTGTTGCGTGTCTGCTCCACTCCACAGTTAAGATGCACCACCTTACAAGTTCCGCCTCTGCCGCCGGACGGAGCGGACTCTTGACTGGAGTCACGCGGGTGTCACCTGAGCACAAACTGCTCCCCCTCCCTCAGGTCCAGCGAGATAGGGATCGTTGGCCAGGCTGTACAGCATCCGCAGGCGCACTTCGTCCGAGAAGGTCCCGCACTTGTGGTTGTTGCAGAGGCCGAACTGGCGCGGCACGTCCCATCCTGACCGCGCGACAAGCGAGTCAGCTGTGCCTGACGAGGACTTCTGCGCCTGTGGCGCGGCTCATTAGCCCAGCGTCTGCTCTGGCGGGGCTTCTGAAGTCGTGGATATGTGTTTCCTTGATCTAGCAACGAGTGCTTTATTCATTTGCGTGCAGATTCACGAAACAACTGACCAACTCTCGAGACAACAGCCACGCAAAATTCCCGCGAACACCAAATACATCCGCAGTGAGACGTTCTCACGACAGCGGACGCATCTGCCCCAGCCCCGCTCCTCACCGGGGCAGTTGTGCCCCCAGAGCGTGGGCTCGGGGTTGTTGCAGAGCCTCTCCCGGGAGCCGAAGCCGCCGTCGCAGTCGGCGCTGCACTCCCAGGCCGACCACATGCCCCAGCCGCCATCCCGGACCACCGGCTGCCGCACCGGGCGCCGGCGTCAGCCGCGGCAAGGGAGGCGCCCGGCGGCGCCGGACCGCGCCACGTGACGGGTCACGGGTCACCGGCGTTAGCCGCGGCAAGGGAGGCGCCCGGCGGCGCCGCACCGCGCCACGTGACGGGTCACGGGTCACCGGCGTTAGCCGCGGCAAGGGAGGCGCCCGGCGGCGCCGCACCGCGCCACGTGACGCGCCACCGGTGTTGGACACAATGCTGGGTCGGCCATGCAGTGCTGAACTTTGGTTATTTACAGTAGAGGTGTAAGGAAGGGGCGGAGGAGGGGGGGGGGGGGGGGGGGCAGCAGCGCCAGTGGACGAGAGAAGACTTCCGTCCGTCCACGTCTGTCGGTCGGAACGGGATGATCGTCGATGATCCACGTCGTTGAGTCGGGTCGGGACCCCAGGTATCGGCTTCGGCGGGTCGGGACGTGTCCTCATTCATCCACATCAGTGAGCCGAGAAAGACCTCAGCCTCAGCCCGCAGGCTGCAGTCTCACCTCCATCATGGACTTGGATGGGGGCTCGCAGTCGTCTCCGACCAGGTCCAGCATGATCTGTGCCTCTCCATGCGTGCCGTCCATTGCGGAGAACGACCCGTACTGGATATCCGCCACACGTGCACCATCCACCTGACCCTTGAAGATGCACTTGAAGTCTTTCTTGTATGGAATCTGACGTCAAAATGAGGTACAGCTATTGTTCGGAAATACGGACTTAACAAATCAGCTGAGTTGAAACAGTCCACGATGCGGATCGCTCGGGCAATGCTGAGAAATCCCAGTCCTTAACTAAGGACATCAAGCCAAATATGAACCACATGTTCCAACCACATGTGCAAATTGGGCGGACCTGCCTGGTACCGTTTGAAAGATATTCCTGAAGGTCAGAGAGGTTGTTTACCCACCCACCCCTAATGCGGTCGCTATGTATCTGTATCTGTATCTGTATCTATGTATGCTAATGTATCTATAAACGTCACTTCTCACTCCTATCCGTCACCGTATCTCCATTTACCTATCTAACTTTGCTTCTTCTCTTCCCTTCTTTTCCCATACCCTCTGCCATAAAGGAAGTGTTTCAAACTTCTATGGGGTTTTGAGCTGAAATAGCCACGTTGAAAATCCTTTCAGTGCAGTTCACTGCCCCGCTCCTCTTAGGAACTAAACCTCTAGCTAAACGCCCGTGAAGATGGGAAACTATTTCGGGCAGATTATTTCAAGGTCACCTTGGCATTCATGCCATCATGTTAACGGCATTCAAATCTTGCCATTTCATAAGCCATGCGACAATCAAGGCCAATAACAATATAATGGTCAAGTCGTTCATAGCTGGCGTACGTGGCCACGATTTCCAGCGAGAAAACGGCTGTCAACTGGCTCTTAATCAATGTTGTGCAAGGCACGATGGCCTAATCAATCAATGATAAATTGAGGAACATATTCACTAAAAGACAAACTATGTTATCAAGAGCAGTCTTTTCTACTTAAAAGTATACAGCAGTTGGAAGTGAGCTTACATCATGTCTGATGCTTGCTCCAATATGCTCCTTGTGAAACATTCCCTTTAAATACCTTCCTTCCCTCGCCCTCCCTCTCTTCCCCATCCTAGCTACCCTTCTTCCTCCCCCACCAATTTGTGCACCTCAAGGATCCCACAGATCCGTCGCATACGCGATCTTCCCCCACCTCCACGTGCAACTCGGCGCGCGGCTTTTCCCAGCCGGTGTAGGTGACCAGTTTGCTGATGACGCGCACGAGGAAGCGATGCCACTGGCCGTCCATTATGTCCTCGATCAGCACCGCCGGCCCGAACTCGTGCCAGAAGGCGTTGTGGACGTCCTGCTCGATCGACTGTTGCTTCAGCTGGGCCAGGTAGTCCTGGTCGCGACTCGGCCGGTGCTGCACCACCAGCAGCGCGTACCCGTCGCGGCCGCCTTTCGGTGCACCACTCGGTGCGTAGCCCGGCAGGTCAACCCGCTCCCGGTGCGTGAACATGACGTCGTACACCTGCGGCGGCAGCGACGCGGGAAATGGTGACGGATGCGTGCTGGCACACATGACAGCGCGGCCCAAATGCAGAATTTGGGGCAGGGAAAGGGGGGGGGGCAAATGGGCAGGGAAAATGGGTGGAACCTTGGGGTGGGAAAACACTGAATTTTGTTCGGGGGGAGAGGAAGTTACCTGAAGCCAGAGTGTTGGAGTGACGAAAGTGATGGCACGTCATGCGAATCCCTCTCCTTTTCCATTTTCTAATTTCCCTTTTGTAAAGGAAGGATATGACAATGTACAAAGGCTTGTGTGGAGAAGGCAAGCATGCCTAGCTGTATGGAATGGTCGGATAGCCTGGTGCACGTGCCCGTTGCAGAATTCCACAATTTCACATGAAGCTGGTGAACAAAATTCCGCAAACGGCGCAGCGCAGATGCGAATCGCCACCCGCTCCGACAACCGCCGTCCGATCTGCGACGCCGCGCGGTCCGCTCCCTTGCCTGGAAGCCGTTCTCCATGCCGTTGGCCATCTCGGCCAGGCGGACGACGAGGCCCGCCATGGCGCGGCGCTGTTTCTTCAGGAAGCGGACGGTGAAGTCGAGGAGGATCTCGGTGCGTCCGTCCGTCAGCGTTCGTCGTCGGTTGAGGGCGAACGACGCGGGTGGGTACTGCCGACAGCGCGCGGAAGACCACGCGCGTCAGCACTTCCGCGGACGATAGCCCACGCGCGTCAGCACGTCCGCGGACGATAGCCCACGCGCGTCAGCACGTCCGCGGACGATGGCCCACGCGCGTCAGCACGTCCGCGGACGGTAGCTCACGCGCGTCAGCACGTCCGCGGACGATAGCCCACGCGCGTCAGCACTTCCGCGAACGACAGCCCACACGCGTCAGCGCGTCTGCGGACGATACTTATGGACACGAGACATGTGTGAACGTTGTTTGTTCTAGAAGTGGCGGTCTGAAGAAGACGAGAGGGGATGAATTAGCGGATACGTGCGGGCAAAATGATGACCACTGTTAACTAGCATGTAGGACATCTGCACGTCAGTGTATGGAAGCACTTGGCGTTATGACTCGACTATTCGTTTCGAATGTATGTTCAATCGTATTCATTAAATGTGTGGCACATTATTACGCGTCAGTGCAGCCATTTGCCCGATGGCGGCAGTGGGGCTGCGGGATGGTCAAATGGTGCAAAGTGCAATTTTGTATTGATATTTATGCCGAACGTTTTTAAGTGAACGGGCTTCTGGGATATGAGCTCACGCTAAGCACTGCTTGTAGTCCGAGTTCTGACCCCACCACCCGATTGTGAAATTTCAAATTAACGGCAGACTTTGGTGGCGAAAGCTCACGGTGATGCAATGCTGGGCTTGGTCCGTCATGCCCTCTGACATAACCTGATCTGGTGCGCGGCCGCTGCCACCGGCCGTGGGGCGTCCCACACAAGAGCGAATGGCGAACCTCTAAAGCGACTAAAGCCCACGTCACCACAAATGTGGAGCAGAATGCAGGCGCTCCAACGAACTGTCCTATCGGGATGGACGTTTGCTGTAATAGCGATGCAGATAGTAGGGTAAGGTATATTTGGATATATCCAGGTGTCTGTATATATATATATATATATATATATATATATATATATATCCGTACCGTCCAGCACCCTCCACACGCAATGACGGTATGCACTTACAGAGCCAGGCTTCAGCTCTCGTTTCTTTATGCCATTTCATCGATAATTTATTCAGTGCAGTTTTATGGTTGTTTGATTTCATTCCAGTTAGTACGTTTCATCATGCATTATTTCGTGGATGCCCCACGTCGAGCCCCGCACGTCAAACTGGTCTAAACCTCCTTACCTGCGACCCTAGACCCGCCCAAACCCGCCCCCATCCCTGTCACGACACAGCCCCTGACGTCCTCATCAGGGAAGTCACATCGTTCACACCGCAAGTCACACCTCTCACCGTCTCGCGTCTGACGGCGATGATCGGGCAAAAGTTGTGCAGCTTGGCCGGGGCGAAGGCGAAGAGGGTGCCCATCTGCACGTGGCCCTGCACCAGCAGGTGGGTGAACACGCCCCCAGTGCCCTTCGATTGGTGACTCTTGGTGTCCTTGAACGCTGGCCTTGGTCCAGTGAGAATTCCGCGTTCGCCGACCTGGGCCTTGGAGATGTACTCAGCCCAGTCATCCAGTCCGAGATTGTTGCCGGAGATTCGTTTGACCTTTTCGAGCGTTTTGCCTGCGAGAAATGCACCATCCGGCGAACTGCGATGACACTTAGAGATGAGAAGACGACGGAAAGTGGAGCCATCACGACGCTTTGTTCAGGGCGAACGTGTCATTTCATTGACCTCGTTGAGAGGTCAGCCAATGATTTCGTGTCGTCTACACACGACCCACGGCACTGGATGTCTAGACTGGATCCTAGAGCTTTGAAAGCTCTGCAAGACTGCCTTTTAGAAAATGACGTCAGCAATTCGCCGTCCGAGTCTTTTACGCATCGCGCGGGGATAACACCTCCCGCCCTCACCTGTGTAGGGCACAACCATGATGGGCGTGGTGGCCTCTCCACGGCCAATGTAGACAAACTCGGTGCAGAACGACACCCAGTACCAGTTGAACGTGATGCCCTCCATCTGCGGCGGCACCAGGTCACGCACCAGGTCGCGTGACGTCACCTCTGTGATGGTCGCGTCACGGAGTGCCGTCATCCACGTTGTGAGGTCGGGGCTGAAGAAACCATTGATGGCGCAGGTGTGATACAAAGGGGCTTGTGAAGTGATCCTCTACTGATTTTTTTTCGCGACCTTTACAGGTATCATCTATCTGTACGCCCATACGCATGGCCACTTCTCAGGATGGATGCTCTCGCTGCCTAAAAAAAGAGAAAATCTCACCGTTATGAATCGCTGCACATTGATTGAAGGCGCAATTTGAAAGAAGTGTCGCCAAGCAGTTTTTAAAAAGATGTAAGTCATCCGATTGGATGTTACTGGAAGGTCCACGCTTGGCAGCGCTTGTCATGTGCATCCTAACACCAGCATCCGATCGTAAAGGTCACTGGCGACGTCACTGGAAGGTCACTGGCGGCTTCACTGAAAGGTCACTGGCGGCGTCACTGGAAGGTCACGTTCTGTCACTGCTACTCACGTTCCAGGTCACCGCTGGAAGGTCACATTCCAGGTCACTGGCCGAATTTTGTGGCAAAAGCTCAACGAGTCGTGATACCAGACACATGATACCAGGCGCCCTGTCTTCTGGCGCCATTTGACCTCTAGCGCGGCCGTTGCCGTCGCCACTGCCGGCCATCCCAGTCAGGGACAAGTAGCAAACCGCTGAAACGACTCGACACGTCCTTCTGTGTAGTTAAATCGGAAGGCAGTCAGACCCGTTCCATATCAATGCGGATGAACGAGAAGTCCACTCACCTAATCTTCCTCTTGAACCGGACCACCATTCCCAGGAAGAACGTGTTGCCGATGTAGATGCAGACGGTGTTGGAGGAGTCGTCCCAGAGCATGTCGGAGAAGCAGATGAGAGCGCCGAGCTCGCGGATGGTCGGGGTCACCGAGCGCAC